ATTCTATTGTAATCCGGGCTATTAGAATCACCATCATCTTTCTCCTTACTATTGTTGGCCGCACCAGAGCTTTCGTGTGTCGCCTCCATCTGTATTGTACACGTGCGTACACGTTTATTCTACTTACTGTATGGTATGGTGTATTTTACACGCGTTGTATCCTCGGGGCGGACATTCGGGCATTTTCTACCGCCTGGCAACCCTCGCGGTGAAAACAAAGGCCAAAAACTCGCAGAAAACGGTACTTTGGGATGGTGGTTGAGACTCCCCTGAACAGTGTAACAAGATTATAGCCCTACGTGTGTAACATATATGAATTTGGTTGTTCAGGATTACTTCAAAGTTGAATTTGTGTTGTTTTCTCGAATTTTCACCGGCTCGACCGGCGTTCCACAGCAGCGCGCCCAGAGCCCATAGAAATGCATGTACAGTGGTGCCCGTCTTAGCAACATGGAACGTCTTGTGACGTAGCTCCGCCCCCGAGGATACGATAACTATGACTGGCCGATCGGACAAAATTGTATTGTTTTATTTGATAGTTTCTTATCCAGTTTAGAATGCATTTTTTCAATATTTTGTTTTCTTGGTAATGTTTGTAACATGTATCGAATCATTTGGCACTACATATTTCAGGGGGGATTGGCACGAGAGGGCGCCATCCGATCTGAATGGAACGTTTCGACGTCAGTTGTCCGTAGCCCACCGTCAAAGCAACAACGTCCCGTCTACGAACAGATGAAATAATTTCAGCAATTTCTTTACAGAATAATCTTCAACAAAACTTAGAAACATTTCATAGAAAAATACAGGCTCCAAAATTATGTCTATTGCAAAACAATTCAACCGACAACCAGTTTGACGCCACAATTTCTTGCTGGAGCCCGAGTTCTACGCGTGATTCTATTGCGTTCAAAACTGTTCCATTTCAAACTGCGCATGCACACATACTGTGGTTTCTCGAAATGCATACTAATTAGGTAACTTGTCACTGATAAAAGTCACCGAAAACATTTGCAGCAATTTTGAGCAATAGTACTAAAGTGAAATATAAACGTGCCTCTGCATTCTCCATTAATTTCGTAACTTGCTAAGATCATGGTGAAGAGAAAACCTGTGCTTACTTTCAACAGTTAGCTGGAGTCCGATCGAAAACGTGTCTCGAAAAATACCTTTACATCATTTTTCCGATAATTTTTTTCAGCTCGTAACGATAGAATCAGTCAATTTAGAACTAACATGTATGCTATCGGAAAGCATTTTGGCACAATTTTACTGAAAAGACGAGTTTTTCATTGCTCATGAATATTAATTTATGCAAATAAGACGATTATTTCAACCAATCGTGTCATGCAACTCCCCCCTGACATATTTCATGCCGGCATATTTTAATACACTTTCGACATCCGAGATAATCGCTACCATCGACACAGTCACTCCATCCAGTACACCTAGAGCCCCGTACACGTGCTGACCATTGTCGCATACATAATGACCTGTAAAGACAACGTACAGATAAATCACAGCAACTCAGTATTTCTTACTTAAAGCGGGAGGGTTGTCACATGCGCACGCGCGAGAATTGAGTTCCAAGCGACGGTAACAACACAAGGTATAAACGCAAAGGCTCATGGGTAGACGCTCGTTAGTAAACATTGACACGTTATGGCCATCTGTGTTCGACACAGACGTGATTCATGACGTAACGTTACTGCAGATGTTGATGTAAGTAATTGTATAATGTAAATGGGAAACCTGATCACAAGCTCGGAATGGTGGTTGATTGATATTTTAAATTGCATCTCTTACCACAGTGTTCTTCGTTGCTGTAATCACCACAGTCGTCGACGTAGTTACACACGCTGAAATCGCGGAAAAGACATTTTCCGTTTTTACACAGGAAGTCGCCATCGTCGCATTCTAAAATATATATCAAATATTTTGTTCATTATGGTAAAAAAATATCAGTGTGGTAATGCATGGAAGTAATGTAATGAGCAATGTACGCCTCTTACAAACATTTGATAGATAGTGATAAACAATGTCGCAAAGGACGTAAATAACAAACAAACAAACACACGTTATTGTATGATGTCATGGAGGTGGTGGCCGAACTAGATACTAAGATTATGGGACGCACGTCGGGCTAGCTACTAGTAAATACAGATATTGGATAAAACATGTTGCCACCCGATCGAGGAGTTGAAGATTTGTTGTTGACAAGGTAACAAAATGAGTTAGTGCAAAGGTGCATGCTCGCACAGAGCAGGGAGCTGTAATGCACAGAGACATATGGGACGGAGAGTAAGAACTAATCAGACGGCATTGAACACAAATGCGGTTACTATACACTGGGTATTAGTGAATCCCACCTGAACATCCCATCTCGTCCTCTTCATCTTCACAAATCGACCAACCATTGCAATGTTCCAGTGGGCTAAAACAGATGCTGCCATTGTCACACAGTTGCATGGGTGATTCGCATGCTGGAACATAAACATAGTAATATAAATATACATGTTTACGGGCCTGTGGTCATAAGACTTCGACGCCTTTAATGCCAATATACGCGGACTACATCCTCTAGTCCACCTGACCTATTCGTGTGTTTTTTGTTTTTGCATTTTATAAGATAACTTGTATAGATTAATCAAATGCCGCAATGTGTTTGCGAAATATATGCCAACGGCATTTTAGCGAGGAGATCGCCTGATAAGCCTTCGACATCTCGCAAACGCCGTAATATTGAAGTAGACAACAAGACAGCAGGCTAAAAGGACTGTCGATAAACCACAATGTACGATGTGAACAACTGTTCGACAACCAAATAGATGTGGTAAACGAAAATTCCACTTTCTAGCAATTAATTAACAATCAATTATCTAAATATATGTCATAGTTAGTACCACAAAAGGAATTATGTATCAATGTTATATCGAATAAAATATGAAAAATGACAAAAGAAACCGCAATTGTCAACTCGTTATGTGGTAACATGGACGTACTAGTACATCCATGGTGGTACTTACCACACAGCTACTCAGTGTTGTTACGATCACAAAAAGGACCGTAACAGTCCATATACAAATCAACACAGGTACCGTCTGCACATTCATACATGATATCACGTGGACAGCCCGAATGCGTAACTGCGAAATATACAATAATAGTAAATAATATAGTCCATGAGCCAAGTGACTTTTATTACCATTCGGGTGGCAAAGGCTATCATATATAAAATTAAAGCTTATTTTGTGTAGATTCCAAAAATATATGATAGCAATGCTGTCATGGTAGCTTAAAGTTGTCACGTGACCTCAACGTTCGCGTAGTATGCATAATGAGATTGCTCACTGGTTGAAAGTATAATGTGAGTTACTGTCTAAATACCGCAAGAAATAATACTTTCATTGACTCAATCTATGATAGGATGTCTTTATATGTTAGGTCGAACACATCACACATGATTTGAAGATATTACGTAATAGTGACGTCATTTCTGCCCACAGTTAAAAATTATATATTCAAAACAAACCTTTCTCAAATTTGCTTATGATTTTTTTTTCTAATAAACAACTGCTGATTAAGATTTATTAACACATAACTAATAAACTATTACAATGAGAAAATAACAGAAATTTGCTGTCCAACGGCATTGCGTTAAATGTATTGTACGAAACGGAAGTTCTAATGGTATACTTTCGTTTCATAAAAGTTGGGACCTTAATTAAGTATGTACAACTTTTCATTGTACATAATCGACTTCTTTACTTATCATACCATTTTTACAGTAGTTTTCTATTCGAAATAATCATTCAGCAAATCATTAAATCAATCAATCTCAAACAAGAAATAAATCAATCATTAATTCGATTTCAAAATAAAGCCAGGCATTGTGTTTTCATTGATAAACTCGTGAGCTTATTTTATTTCAAGAATTCGATTGACTCAATTATTGGTCGATTGATTTGAATTTGTCAGTGGGCTTTTAGCTCTTAGAAATGAGGTACTCATATTTTTGTTATGAGCCAATAAAAGAAAAACAAAATAAATGTTTCTAATTACAGCTATATCTAATTAAAGAATCAACGTTTCAGTAAAATGAATCGATGTGATTCTTCTACTGCAGCTTTGTAATCATTAAATTTGAAGGTCATGGATCAATTCATTTTGCTCACGTACAGTAACTTCATAACACAACAAGTTATGGTTCTTGATCTCAGTCAAAATCAATGTCATCATCATCGTACAGATCTACGCCCAAAGCATCTTCCTCTTCAGGTTGATTAGAGCAGAGGTCAGAGCACTTCAATCCATTTTGAATACAGTCACAAGAATCACTATCACACTTCTTTTTGCACATGCATGACATCAGTTCTATTACAGCTATCGGTGCAGGAAGTCCAGTCATCTAGTCTATTTCAGTTCTTTCACCAGCTCCATCATGCTCCAGAGCCCAACCTTTACCAACTGGAGTTGGCACTTCGGCATTTTGTAGTGAATTCCTCCAGACTGAGGCTTGGTAGTTAGCACGCTGGCAATGTTTGTACAAGCAGTCTTTACATGGTGGCAGCTGATGGGACTCTGCTTCTCCTTTCTTGGCACAGAAGACACCACATCGACACTGATTGACATCGGACACACCTTTCGTTGCACCATACAAAGCACAAACTAATGCTTCTAACTGACTTAAAAGCTCCTCAGACAACGTCCACTCTTTCCCAAGCTTCTGGAACATGCTCTGATACTCTTTCTTGTTTCGCATTATCTTTAGAGGCTTCAACTTTCCAATGCCAGCAAAAGCGCTGACTGTGTCACACCCAGTAAAGGCGCGTAATCCTGGTAGT